TGCAAAAACGCATTCGTTGATCACAATCCCGGGATAAAATCTATTGAACTGGTTGCAGATGATAAGGGTGCAATAGCTAGCGCCTTAGGCTGCGATGTACAGTACGAGATTCCTACTTGCTATGCAAGTCCTCGAGTACTAATTGTGGGGTCTTCGTCAAGATTTTCCAACACTGCATCTTCAACATTAAGGTTCACTTACTGACCACGTCCTTCTCCTCGAGGAATAACAGTTCCCGTGTCTCGCAGCCGCTGAACGCACTGTAGAATTGTATTTATACATGGGATAACGTTGTGGCCATCGTTCCCGATACAACCTAGTCGCCGCGAGCGCATTTTTTCCGGCTGCACCATACACTAACACCATATCGACAAGTGCAGAATAGTAAATGCATTGTTTTCTCGGTTCATTGTAAAACTAGTTTGTTCACAAACTATAAAATTAAGCAAATTAAGAAATAAGAATCTCGTTTTTAATGTAATCGGCACGCTAATCTTATTTTTCACTTCTTTGTACAAATTACACTGTCACTATCGTAGAATTACAAAATAAAAACTTTTGTCTGAAATATTTCACTTTTTAACACTGATGGGTCGATGGACGATGCTCAATATTTAATAATTAAGTGAATAATGATACAAATACAAAATCAGTTGACTGCACACATATTTTGACAATGTAACCTAACCTTCTTTCAGTATTACTAGTATTAGATTATACCGACTCAAATTATAAGGTTCTATCTCGGGTCGCATAAAAACATCCAAAGTTTTTAATAAACAACACCTCGGCCTTCATTTTTGTTGAATAATGAACTTTAATTTACAAAAAAAACTCGAATATAGAACTTTTTCGTATAAAAGTTTTCTATTACAAATGTCATCAGGAAGCTGTAGTTTAATTTTTATAGATTATCCACGCCACACCCTGTATAAATTCGATATATTTCCTTATGCAACCTTTTCTTACTTCTAATGTGTACGAGCTACGCTTTTTTTTTAATTCATGAACTTGGTAACTGTTTCATTATTACCTGTACCGAAATTGTTCTGTGCCTATTTGTAATTTAAAAACAGCCTATAAAAAATTCAAGACAGGGTCCAATTATGATTGCAAATGAACATTAAGCACCCTAAAATACTTAATCCGAAAACTTGAACCTGGGTAGCCGAGGAATTATGTTTTAATGACTTTTAGAACTTTTAATGTGCCGTACAAATATTTTACGTCAAGGGCTTGAGAGGTGCCAGCGTTCATCGTCAATTTTCCGGTACGGAAGAGTCGTAAGGCGGAAAGCATAGAAAATAATTGATAAGTTTTTGATAAGTTGTTTTGAAACAGTGTTTTTTTAATTAGAAAATCAATCTAATACTAAATATTTTCCTAAACAGTCTTGCATCGTATAAATTTATATTAACATTTTTTCCCCAAAAATAATAACCGGTGATATTGAATCTGTTACATATTAAAATTTAAAGTGACAATAACCATTTAAATTTTAAGTGAATCCATATTTTTAAAAAATAAATGTAACATTGTACTTATCTTATTAACAGAGCTTTGAATTAGAAAAATGTTATTAAATGTTGATAAAATATTCACTTGAAATACATTTAATAGTAATCCCCTTTGAATGTGTCAACAGAAAATAAAACCACTTAGAAAATGTTTACTTTAGGCAATTTTATGAATTTGTTTGAGTAGAGGTTGCTATTATATGCTTTAGTCACGAAAAATATTATTACATTGAACTTAAGAGGAAAAGCTTGTTCACTACTGGAAAACGCATTTATTGCGAGGACAAAAGTGAGTACTCTTGGTCCTATGAGAAACCTCGGCCTTACAATTTAGTGGAGAAGAAATTGTAGAAGTATGTAGTTTTTTTACTATGTCGGTAGATTTAAGAAGAAAAGGGCCACTAAAGATTTATACCAGACTTGTTAATTTAGTTCGAAAATTTCCTAAACCGTTCTGCTGTTTGGTCTCTAATTTATTAGAATATATTTATGTGGGAAAGCTTAGAAGCCTTAGTGTATTGGGTACATTTATACATAGTGGTCCTGTTTCATTGCGCAGAACTTTACAAGTGGTAGCAAACGGCATTTTGAGAGAAAATTTATTTTTAATGCCCTAGTTCAATCATTGTTTTCACTTAGGTTCTGAATATACAGAGGGAAAGAGTTACAAGAGAATTTTAGTTGCTATTATAACATCTTTTTTTTAATAAAGGCTTTCTCATTTTTAGGTTTCAGAGTTCTATTTTTATATATGTACAATAAAAACGTCAATAAAGATATTGTTATGGTTTCTAGCGGGCCACATTGTATATATTTCATTTACAGAAATAGAAACTCTACTGAGGCATAAATAAAAGTTGTTTCAGCCTTAAGCAGCAATAATTTCCACTTCGATCGTAGTTTATAATCTGCATTATCTCATGTCGGCAACTTTTTATTGATATTCCATCTCTGTCTTGCATGTTGCAAGGTTACAATTGCATAAATCCAGTAAAATACAAATTTATTGGTCGTAAATTTATTTAAAGTTTGGAACTGTCCAAAAACAAAGAGTGTCAGGGTGAGATTGTGCCAATTTCTTTAAATGTCCTTGATGTTATTGGTTTCACGAGTTGGTAGAAGATGGGTAAATGTTGAAAATTTTTCATAACATCGTATAATATCAATTTTTTCGTTACAATAGAGAAAAAACGTAGTCTGCACAAAAAAGGTTTCCGACCAAAAAATAACAAAATTTATAGCCCTTTTTATGCAGGAACATCAATAATTTAGGTCGGAAAATTTGTATTGTTTAGAGCTGTACTTCAATGTAATTTTTAAACAAAATGATGTGTGAATAAAATTATATGTTATATAGGTACCTATACAGATATTATTTAAGGATTTTATTCTGCAATATATTTTATAGCAGTCGTCAGAATTTATAAAACTTTTGTTACAATGTTCTTTGACTCAATTGAATTTCTTATTTATTGAAAATTCGAATATTGAGAAGTAGTCTTATTATCTGTTACGACATATCTTCTATTCTATATGTACGCACGTGTATCACTGAAAATGATTTTATTTCTCTCATATTTCGCTGCTCGTTATATAAGGCAGATTTTGTTACCTTCGTTATCTTTACAAGAATGTAAAGCGCGATAAAATAATAGGCATAATATAACGAATTATATGTATGAAAGCTTGTTCAGCTTTTAAAAAATAAGATATTTTGCGTTGAAAAACATTTCTATGCTAAAGACAGTGGTGTAATTATGGGGTTTTGTTCACATTTGAATCCCCTGAACCTCCACGCCAATGACGAAAAGTTTTTTTGTATGGATACGTTTTCGTTTCACTTTAAAAATTTAGGAGGCTTTGATGAAAAATTAACCAATAATCACTGGTAATTAGTAAAGTAAAGCGTAGATATTATTTTATATATTTATATACATTTATATTGATATTTACAGTTCAAGGCTCATAAGTAGGCTTTATTACGTGCCAACTATAATCGACAGTGTCAAAATTAGCCATTTTTTTTATCATAAGGCATTTTCAGGGCTTTCTACATTTTAAAACTAAAACAGATTCTTAAAACATTTACAATTTTAAGTCTGTGTAAAAAATATTGATGAAGTTTGAGATATATACGTATTTAAGTGATACATTTATAAAGCTACTGTATATATTAAAAAAAGTATTGTGCTAATTGTGCGTCTAAAAAAATGTTAGGGAATAGCCCTGGTTTTTAATGTGCCACACTGTATTTATTACAATTAATGTCCATTGGAAACAAAAATGTATACAACCCATAATGTCACCAGTGATACTTCTTTTTGTCAACAATTATTTTTAATTACTTTATTGATGACTTTTTAATATGTTAAATTATTGCATTGGTCCTTTTTTAATTATTAATAGGTACTCACTCAGGGTCGTCTTTACTTTCCATTATCTTGCTCTATTGTTGCTAATTTTAGCTATAAGCGAAAAATATCGTTTTCTCCCTTGTCAACTCCATCAATGGACAGGCTGTACATAAACAGAAAATACCTGACTGTTCTTGATTTTCGCATAGAAAATGTATATTAATGATTAATATTGATTTTATTTTACGTTTTAAATATATTTTTTTTGCATATTGCAGTTTAATATATATGAATGCAGACCTTGATATTTATTTGAAGGTATTTCTATACACGAAACTGGTATTAATAATGCTCTTTTTATTATCAAGTAAAACTGAAACGTTTAATATGATAAATATTTATAATTTTCGAGAAAGAGTAAGTAAAGACTTAGTAATCTCACAATCCTTTTATTTGTAATGTTCAAAAGACGACTAGTTTCAAGGTCTACACTTTACACCTCATCTTCAGGTCATAACAAAGATATCACATTTACAAGTCAAAATTTGGAAACTTCATCAAAATAACCAGTTTATCAATTGTAGTATACTTAATAATATCTTAATAACGTCTAATTTTAAAAACATAAAACATTTACTGCAGACAATATACAATACACAGTTACAAGTACAAAATTTTATTTTAAAAACCTGAAGATGAGGTGTAAAGTATAGACCTCGAAACTAGTCGTCTTTTGAACATTACAAATAAAAGGATTGAGATTACTAAGTATTTACTCTTTCCCGAAAATTATAAATATGAACTCACACTTATCAATTTCAAATTTGATAAATATTTATTATTAGGATTTAATATTACTGATATGACGTACATAAAAAGTTATTTTCTTAAAATTTACCAGAGTAACAGTTGTCCACAAAAAGCGATTCAAACGATTTTGTTTAGGTAAAAAAATATAATAATGTAGGGGTGAGTCATTCCCAATGAACACCTTGTAGTACTTCAATTAACTTCAGTTTTTATTTGTTTACCAATTAAATTTTACTAGGTATGCAAAATAAAAGAAAACAAAAATTGTTCAGAAACTTGTTTGGAGACTGTACGATATAAATAGCGAAAAGTCTCATCATTATTTAGTTAGCAGTATATCAAGCTTTAACAATGAAAGTAGTTGTAAGTAAAATAATTTAATTAGTTAATATTTTTATTAAAATTGTGGTGTAACATTAGTTTTTTCATGTCATGTGATATAATAGTGTTAACATAAGGTTTATGCATATCCATTTAATTTTTTTTATTAAATATAAATTAGTAGTGTACGTTTATTATTTTCGTTAGCTTTTAAATACAAAATTATACAAAAAATAATATTTCAAAGCTAAATTAAATTTTCGGAAGTTTTATACATTAAAATTATGTTACATTAACATTGTAGGGCTTTTGTGTAATTTATTTGCTTTAGGCTACTAAAAAAGTTCGTTAAATCAGTCCAACTATAACTTAACGGCAATTGAACAAAATGGCCGTTCTTCATATATTGTATATAGGGTGTAACTAAAATGCTTGGTCAAACTTTAACAGTGTCCAGAAAGGGTGTTGTCTAAAAAAATTCAAGTTTTTGTAGTTTTAGTTGTTTTTACAGTGCAGACAAACAGTGTCATATTTACATATACATGACGTAGTTTTGGAGTGGATAAATTAATTTAAGTTTGGTCAAACATTTTATACAGGATGTCCCAGAAATATGTACCAAAATTGTGCATTTCTGGTTAGTAACAGATAATATTGTTATTTTCAATACTTAAACCATAAAATACAATTCAGGGGTGGTAAATTGGTGATTTAATTACATGGAATAAACCAAATATCTTTCAAAACCTCTTTATCTTGCTTATTTGAGGATTGTTAATCATGTTCCCACAATTATTACCTATACAGGGTGACTTACAAATAGTGACCAAAAATGAAATCTCGTATTCTTTAGTGAATTTTAAGGGGAATCTTTCCTAAAGCAGTGGCGTACTATTTTACTTAGAAAAACTAGCAACCCGCCCCGGCTTCGCACGGGCAAATATAAAATAGCCTATGTTACTCCGAGAAGATGTAGCTTTCGGTAAAATTGGTTGAGTAGTTTTCGAGTTAAATCGTAACAAACAAAAAATCAATCATCTTTCATCTAATGCGACCCTAATATTAATTTTAAAATAATTCACGATATATCTATATACCTAAAGACAACAAACGAACTCAAAACTAAAAATGCAAAACCTTTAAATTTAAAACAATATAGGTAACTACCAACAATGTGAAAACAAAACGAATTAAATTAAAGTACCTATGTTCAGGACTATCAATTTTAATTAATAAGTAAGTAGTTAGGTATCTAACTACCTAAAGAAAACAAACACGAAACAAAAATGCGACTATGAAGTTTTAAATGATTCACAATAAGAAAAAAACAAACAAATTATTAAAACTCAATGAAATAAAAGTATGTTTGCAAGTATCTATGTATGTTCCGACTACCTAAAGACAACAAATACAAAACAAAAATGTGACCTTAAAATATCGAACGCAATTATAACTTTCCAACAACACCCAGAAAGAAAACACAGTCGTCAGTCGTCACCTCCATTCGCTCCAAGTCAGTTTATTAAAGGATCACGCGCGCGTTATCGTTCGGCTTATTAGCTAAACAGTAGGCAAGACGGTGCGGGGGGAGGGTCGGCGATCGCATCAAGCGAAGCGAGGCGCTTGAATTTTATTCTCGCGTCCGTAATTTTTTTGCGATTACTCCTAAGATATTCATTTAAATTATATGGTGTAAAAGAGTAAAATAATGTGCATGAAATGCTTAAAGCCTCTAACTTATTTAAAATGATAAGGATTAATACCGTATTTGTGTAAATAGCTTTTACATTACCGCTTTATAATTGCCAATTTTTTAAAGTATTAAAATGGATATAGGTAGTATGTTATCTTTAACATATAGACATATGCCATCGCGGACTTTTCTGTAGGCATATATAAGATACACAATTCCACCATACATTGATACACTACATAAACTTTCGGACCCCCCCGGCTCGGACGCGAGGCGCGGGGTCACGGGGCGCCCGCGCGGCCCGGTCGAATCACGGCGACACGAAATTAATTTCGTTGCGCATTATTTTGATTTTGCTATATCTCCTAAGGTATTCATTTAATTTGCATGGTGTAAAGGGAAAAAATAATCTTCATGAAATGCTCAAGCCAACTAACGTATTTAAAATGATAAGGATTAATACCGTATTTGTGTAAATAGCTTTCCAATTACCGCTTTATAATTGCCCATTTTTTAAAGTATTAAAATGGATATAGTATGTTATCCTTAAGAGATAGACATATGCCATCGCGGACTTTTCTGTAGACCTATATAAGATACACAATTCCACCATACATTATTTTGTTATATCTCAAAGGGTTTAGGCAGCGTTTTCGTTGAAAGCTCCCAGACGGCTTATTTTTTTCCGACACCTCCAACAAATATCGTTAATGTATACAAAAACTTAACAAATTATATACTAAAACCTTCCTCGAGAACCACTCTATCCATTGGTGAAAATAGCATGAGAATCGGTGCAGTAGTTTTTGAGTTTATCGCGAATAGACAGACAGACAGACGCGACGGAGGACTTTGTTTTATAATGTGTAGTGATATGCCACCGATACCCTGTATCTCCGCCACTGGAGCATGTAAATTTTAGGAAAAGCCCTCAGATTTTGGACAATGTTTACATAAATACATGTGCCCAATTTAAAATTAATTTCACTTAATAGTTTTTAAATTATTTAAAAAAATTAAAAATATTTTTTGAAGAGACACCCTGTATCTTTCTAATGAAGCGTCCTAGATAAAAATTTTATAGGAAAGACTCCCCTTAAAATTCGCCAAAGAATAAGAGATTTCATTTTTGGTTACCCTGTATAATTCCTGTATAAATACCTACGCTTTCAGATCTTCCTCGTCGCCTTCGTCGTAATAGTCGCCGTTACAACGGCCGCTCCCGCCGAGGAACCCATTCCAATACTAAAGCAGGACGCAGAAGTGAACTTTGACGGCAGCTACCACTCCTCGTACGAAACCGGCAACGGTATCGTCGTCAACGAGGAAGGAGTCCTTAAGAACCCAGGCGTGGAGAACCTGGAGGCTGAGGAAGTCCACGGTTCATTCTCGTACACCTCCCCAGAGGGACAACACATCTATCTCACCTACCTGGCGAATGAGAACGGGTTCCAACCGTCGGGTGATCACCTCCCGGTAGCGCCTCTGTAGGAAGGAAGTACAACTTGCCTAAAATACTGCCGATTTTCGATGTGAAATGTACAAATGGTCAAATAAATAAAATTTTACACAAAATCTTTGAAAAATGATGATGGAACTCTATTTTCGATACCCACTGTTACTACCTTTACAATCAAAAAATTTTTGAATTAATTCATGAAGAACTTGATAATTTATTGAAATTATTGCAAGAATATTACACTGTCCAATTTTTCATTTATATAGGCCAGGAAATATAGAGTTGGACGCGACTTTTTGTTTCGGCAAGCTGAATTTACCACTATAGATGCTAAATATTATGTACAATAACATATTAGTTTCCACAGTCATAAAAATGGGGAGAAGATTGTGTACAGGGTGGTTAATTGTATAATTTTTACGTAAATTCACGTTTTTCGCTTATAACTTTTTTCCGTTCATTTCTACGAGAAAACAGTAAGGTACTTTTCTTTTCATCTTCAAAAGACCTACAAAACTAGCCCTCGAGCATCAAAAAATATTGATTACATCAAAAGTTATAAACAGAAGAAATTTATTTATGACTTCCGAATTAAACATTTATAAACTGCGTTATTATTACCATAACGTTTTGGTATCGCATCCTCTCATTCCTTATCACTGTCTAATAACTCCACGAAATCTGGAATCGGTAAGTTGAATAGTTTACAAGTTATGGTCTTATAAACAAATTAACTAACTATTAGTCTGGACGATCCCGAGGATCTTCCACAATCGCACTGATTTTTTTCATGGTAGATTTCAAAATAGTACATTGAAATCTATCATTTTTTTTTAATTTCAAATTTGCAATCCTATGCCTTAGTTGCATACGACGCACG